CCAGCTTGGTGGTGAGTGTGGAGGGAATTATGGTGTTAAATGCAGAGCTGTAGTCTATGAAGAGCATTTTAACATTTAAAGGGGGCAGCGCTATAATCTACAGTTATTGTCAAATCTGCCAGATTAATAAATACACGAGTTAAACACTATATTATGGTATCTTCAATGCGATTTCATATTAATTTGTAATAATGTCCTACATGCCACGCTTTTTTGTTTTAGCTATGACTGAGAGAGCTATTTGTTGAAACTGGTATTCAGACTTCACCAACACATTGTGGCACACCCACCATTCCCTGCATTTTGTCTTTCAGAGCCCAACCAGCGGATGGGTGTGATTGCAGCTGGGACCTTGGTCTCCTTTTTACTGATTGTCCTCCTCTCACTGCTGTGCTGCTGCTGCCTCTGTCGGCACAAAGACAACCACAAGTGAGTGACAGATAGGTGCCTTCACCTCAGCGGTCCACATTAGGGGCTTGAGTTTCTATTAGGAGGCCTGCCCTGGTTATAAAAACAGAGAAAAATATTTTCTTTGTACATTTTCTCACAGGTTGTTAAATTAATAAATGCACATAAATTGTATTTCAAGAGCTTTTATATATTGACATTATATTGTGAATAGCAATATGAGCAGTCCCTGAGCCCTCAAAAGAGGCAGAGGGCCAGGTTTAAAATGCCTAGTTTGAATGATTCATTTGGATTTCCATGGCGTCATCCCTTTTCAACAGCAAAAAAGCCAAACGGATCTTGTGTGGACGATTCAGCAGAATCAGCACTAAACTTCCCCGTATTCCACTGAGGAGACAGAAACTGCCCAAAGTAGTCGGTGAGCCCGAAAACTATTTCTCATATACCACCACAGTGCTACCAGAAGCTTCTGTATTCTCTGTAATCTTTGTCTTTGATTCTTGCACAGTCTGCTAAAATGTATATTTTTATTAGATTCAGTAAAAGCCAGTGAATGTAATGATATTCTGTGTAAGCAGTATACGTAGATGGTATAAAAGCTGTGTTTTAGTGGCTATCAGTGCTTTCAAATGTTTTTAATTTTAATGTCATGTAGACAATGACGCTAATGTCTGTCAATCAGTGTAAGCATTTTCTTTTAGTGCTACCTTAGGCTGCTGCCTAGAAGATGAATAGGGTTGAAAAGTGTATGGTGGCTGCCAGGCGAGTATGAGGTTTCATTTAAAAAGAATGCACTGGTTTTAGAGCCCATTATTATTCTTGGCACTGCCAAATGCCATGTGTTCATATTATTACGACCCTAAACTTGGGCTTTTTTCTCCCTATTTTCTTTACTCTTTTCCATCATCTTCTTCACAAGAATTTTTTTTCTTGTGCTGAGGAGGAGGCTGTGTTATTAAAAAGAAAGCCAGTGGTTGTTGGGGGCCCCACGTGGTGGTGAGTGACGAGCTATCAAAGGCTGCACTGTTTGGGTGGACGCTGTAGTTCTGCTGCTCCATGTGGAGGTCTCGTGGTGTGTGACAGATGTGTTTGTGACCCCAGGCTTTGGGGTTTTTTTTCGTTTTTTGTTTTGCTTTTCTACAGACGTCAGACTAGTCAACGTATTATGGCTATTTGCTTTGGATTTGGAGTTGTTTAAATTTTAAAACACTAAGGTTTGTTATCAAATCATTTCCCATTACCTATGCAATAAATACATTCATTTGTGCATCATATCAGACAGCAGAAGCAATATTTGCTGCGCTGTTAAATGGAATTTCCAATATTTTCAAGACACTGACTTATCCTGACATTTTCTGATTCTAAAACGATTAGTTAATCTGTCAATCCAATCATCTCTCTGTATTTTGTAACATTTTGCAGACTAAAAGCATATATGGCTGGTCAGTGAAACAGATGTTCCCAACCTTACTTTGATTTGTGTTTTCTGAAAAAGACAGATGCTTTAAAATGTGTTTTTGAAGTCAGTGTAGTGCATAAGGGGTTAAATCATAATGACCTGGTTTCTTTTCCAAGTCTGAGCAGCATGTGCTTTCTCATTTTTCCAACTGATTATTTAAGCTACAATCTGTCCACATTATGCCTCATTTGAAAATACAACACATGGACTGTGTGGCCTGTGTCATCCTATGGGACATTAATGCTTATTTGTGAGTAAGTGCAAATCATGTCTGTAAAAGGATTTCTTAAGAATGCAAGTAAAGAAAAATCTATTTTTAGGCCTTGAAAAACGAAAGTTTCAACAGTTTTAGACAGTAAATGTGAAAAATGTTGCAGTCAGACTTGAAGGCAGACCCTCATACCAACCTTCATCTTCTCCTTCGTTTGTCCTGCATAAATCTTTGCTACCCTGCTTGCATTTGTGCTACTCACAGAAGCATGGTTTGCCAACGTTTAGAAACTCCAGCTCTGACTGAAGCCACACAGTCCTGCACACAGAACACACAAACACACACACATTCCAGAGGGAGGCCATAGGGCTGGAAACAGGAAGTGGTCAAATTTACCCCAGCTAGTGTCAGAAGTGTGATTTATCCACATCAGGGTCAGTGGCAACAGATGTGGTAAGACCAAATGATAATAAAACAGGGGTAGGGGAGATGGGGGCTGGCTCTCACCTAAAAATTAAGTTCCCATGAAACTAAATTCAATTTTCAGTTTGTTTGTAGTATTTAAAAATGTTTATAGTCAGCCTATATTTGCCATTTGAGTTCTTGCTGTCCTATCAGTCAAATGTAATGGTCTGATAAAGCAGAACATGGTGGAGAAATATCTAATGTGGTCAATGTTTTGAAATGGTATGTTTATAAACAATAATAAACAATCAATGAAAATTAAGCTAAATAAACATCTGGAAACACATGGAAGTTGAACCACAGTACCCTAAATGAAAATCTTTTACATTATGCCTCCATATGCCTGCTTTTTTTTTAAATATAAGACTTTTTAAAAATCAATTTGTCTTTATTTTCCTGAAATTGAAAAATGCAATATTTATCAGCATGGGAACTACATTTTAGAAGTCAGGGATGAATTAAAGGACAGCATTTAGTCCTAGCAAAGTTTGACTCAATAAAAAAAACCTATATAAACACACTGTCACCTATTTCCCTCTTGGTGAAACTAATGCTGTTTGCTTGGATTTTAACATTCCTTTCTAAGCATATTTACTCCACACCCTGCACATTTGTGTCTGTCTGGCATTCCTTGCCTCCTCTATATCCAAACGCTTCCTCATGGACGGATGCTAAGACCAGCTGCTTTTTTTCTTCTTTATTTATCCGGGCAAAGTTTGGCTGGTATTGCAAATGTGTTTGCTGCAATACTCACAGTGTAGTTGGGAGTTATCTAATCAAAAAGTCAGAATATTTTCTCAAAGTCACACTTTGGCTTTTACTAGAATGACCCAGTTACTGTTATACTGCTGTATATATTCATTCTTTTAAAACAGAAGTGTCCAAATGGCTGTAGGCTGTACGCTGGCTCTGTATATGAGAATTTACATGCAACGTTGCAACATATGTCCATGCTGTTTTAGGCTGAAGTATATTTTTATTTACTGTTATTACTGGTGAACCACATTATTATTCAGTGCACAGTTTTCTAGAGATGGACCAGGTGTTTGATCTATCAACTTTCTTGTTGTATCCTCTAGACTTCCACCACCCTACTGAGCAGCTGTGGTGGTGGAGTTCTGTTGTGGAGATGGGTCAATAATACCCTGTTGTGTGTTGGCCTTCATGCAGAGAGGGATCACAGTGGCGTCTAGTCAGCATAGCGATCTTCCTTACTAGACTCACAGTCTGGACCAAGCAATTTTTAAGGACAGCAGTTGTTCATCGCTGCATACATCACTTGCAAAATGCCCATGTGTTAGATCGCTGACTAACATGACTGAAATCTTTGCCGTTCTACATTCCTTTGTCCTTCAGTCTGTGCCTGTCTGCCTGTTGCTACACTATGAGGACCCTGCACAAGTGGTGGAAAAGACATATACATTAGCTTTTTTCCTGTATAATTCAAATATTTACTTAAGCATAAATAGTTTTCGATCTTACATTGAAGTTCCATTCTGGCTTCAGATTTATTTTTATAAATAAATTGATATAAAATATAGAGATAGCAGATTGTTATGGGGATATCTTAAAATGATAATGGAAATGTAAGCCCTCTGTGTTTAAAAATACTATCTTGTGACCTCTTTATATATACAAGTAGTTGAGACAGACATGTTGCAACTGTTTTGACATTCACCCCTCAGTTCATAAAACAAGACAATAGAACCCCAAAATCAAATATTTTGTTCAGGGAGTTAGACTTCTTGTTTTGATGAAAGAAGGAAACCTTTTAAGGAACCATTTTAGATCAATGTAAAAATAACCAAGTGAGTCATATATCTAAGGCAAAACCTTGACTTTCAAAACAGATTGAAAGGGGCAACGTAAAATTAAATTAGAAACTAGAAATTCAGATAAAACCCAGCAAACTAAAGGGGAAAACATGACTCAATCATGTTGTTTTTAGAGAAAAAGTTCAAAGCACAAAAGGCTCAACAGAAAGTCACATGGTGTGAGCCACATTGATTCACATGGGAGGCAAGAGAATAAACTTCAGACTGGTTTAGGGTGACAGATAAACCAGACTTGTTTGCTATAATGGGAGAATATAAAAACAGCGTCTAAGCAGATAATCTGCTGGATTTTCTTCTTTTGTAACATTTTAAAAGTGCATCCATATCAAACACTAATACAAATGCAGCAAGAATATAGAGAGATACATTTTGCAAGTCAGGCTGCAAAAATCTAGCTGTAGATCTCTTAAACTAGCAAATCGTTTTAGGCCAGTCTTGGCCAGTGTCCTGGTAGTTAGGGGATTCCTTCCATAGATGGTTTATCTAAGGTCTAAACAAACGCATGGACCCATGTGTCATCAGGAATATAAACAGGAGCATCTGATGTGGCCGGTCATGCAAGTTAACACCCAGTATGGTTTAGTCCGGTTCACACCAGATGGGAAGATTAAGCCTAAGTACCCTTCAGAAAGCGCAGCTGTCCTGAGACTGAAGGGTTAGCAGAATGCTGTAGTGTCTGAGGACAGAAGAATGAGAGAGCGAAAGGGAGATTGTGAGAGGGAAACATGACTTGACCTACTTATTGTTAGGGAGAGGACTCAGTGGAAGATGACGATGAAGAACCCATTTGTGGTTCATTTTGCTGAACCCACAAAATACTAGAAAAGCCCAGCAGAGACAGTAAGCAACCACATAACATTGCAATGTTTTATCTTACCATTCAGCTCTTTATTAGTATACTGTATATTATAAAGAGTATTGATTGTTGGTTAAGATTTTCCAAGCAAACTCTAAAGAAAATCTGAATATCGTCAGCTGTGGGAATTCAGCTCCAGCTAATAAATTATGAATGGGTATGAAACTATCACCATTTACTTTTAGAAACTTATAGTGTCAGAGCCTTTGTTAGCTCACATGTAAAACCTATTTTTCTACAGAGTTAGTTAAACCAATGCTTTCTACAACTTTGCTGTGAGACTGAGTAAGAGCAGACTGTTTGTCCTGTAACACAGTAAAAAAAACCTCTGACTGACCTTTTGACTTTTGCATTTGTTTTTTGTTCTCAGTAGCCCACCATGACCCAGAGAACACCTTCAACTGCAGCTTCATTGAGCCCCCCTCTGTGGCTGAACAGCACTCCCCCTCCTCCTGGTCATCCCAGGGGTCCTTCTCTTCTTTTGAGAGCGGAGATGAGGGGCCAGTTTACTGTGTTCCGCATGAAGGTGAGTAATCATGTAAAAAAAAAACCAAAAAAAAAACAGTTCAGCTATCTTGTATGGACACACATGCGAGATAATCATATTCCCCAATGTGACTATCCAGTGACTCACTCACTTCTCTAATAGCTACATAATAGTTGGCATTTATGCCATTTAAATTTAGATTCTCCTTTGAGAACAAGAAGAGCATAAACAGGAAATGGAATGGTCAAGTCAGCATATTGCACACATCCAAACAGTGACTAAATCCTTAAAGTTTGGTGGAAAACACCCATTCCGTCAGTTTCTAATCTTGAACTATGAAATTGCAAATGATGCTTTAGCCAGTTTTAGTCTGTTTCTCTTTGATGTGGGTCTCTTTACAAAAATGGATTTTGAGTAAGATCATCAAGTTGCCGAATTGACCCAGTTATTGACCCAGTTATTTTCAGTATAATTGAACAACAGCAAACATGCAGTAAACGTAGTGATCATATCAAGTAATGTAATGCTGCAACAGCACGTATAATCAGGATTGAAATAAACAAACACCATTTTTGAGTAGCATCTCTTGACCTGCCAATGATCCACAGACTCCATGAATGACAAGCGGAGCCCCAGCCCTGCAGCAGAGAAGCCAGAATCTGTCCCTGATGAAGATGACGCTGGTGAATACACCTCCCTGAAAGACACAAGTGTAACCAAAACAGAAGGTAGTGAGCCACAGTATGCCTTGGTCGCCCGCCTCTCCAAGCAGTCGAAGGAGGATGAGAACAGTGGCAAGGATAGAGATGGCACTCCTATATTAGAGGCCAAGCGCAATGGAAAGCCACCGCCTTCACCTGGCAAGCCCAAACCCCGGCCACCAGACCCATCCACTAAACCCAAGGTGTCGTGGATACACGGGAATACCACAGGGTCTCCCCAGCCTGAGCAGCAGGGGGGAATTAAGGCACTTGCAGTGTCAAAGGAGAAAAAGAGAAGTTCAAGTGATGGCTCATCTAAGAGTGAAGAGTGGCAAAGAATAAAGGAAAAGCATCATGACCGACAGAAGATACAGGAGGGGCAGGAGGCAGATGCCAGTGGCTCCCCTAAAAAACACAAACCTCTGCGAGGTAAAAAGTCTGGGGATGAGCACGGCAGTCCCAGTCACATGGAGCACATCAATGGTGTTGTTCAGAGTGCCCTCAAGAAGATAAGTAATTTTCACTGCTCCTCACCTGAAAAGAAAAGTGTTGATAGTTCAAAGCAGACCCCTAAGGAGCCACCCAAGAGCCCAAAGGTCATCCATCCTCATATGAACTCAGAGGCTGCTACGCTGCTTGCCGCTCAGCTCAAGGAAAAAACCCAAAGCATCAACAGGAATGAGGGAACAGGGCTGACAAAGACCAATGGTCTCTCCACACCAAGGGCAAACCGGGAGAAGCCCACACCTCCACAGAAAGCCAAAAGAACCGGCTCCACTGGATTGAGCCAGATTGAGCAAGGCTCCACCAAACCCCAGCTGCCCACCTCAAGTAGCCTACAGAAAATGGTGGCACCTGTAAAAACCAACCTTGGGACCCCTGAAGCCAAGAGCCCGGAAAAGCAGGACTTGAACGGCTCCAGGACAGGGGACCCACTGGATCCTACACCAAAGAAGACTCCCATAAAAAAACCACCCAGGAAGAAAGGAAAGGAAGGTACTTTGGATACATCTGAAAGTAAAACACCACAGCAAAAGACAGCTATTATGCCACCACAGGTTGTGAAATAAGTGTTTTGAACTACAAATTGCACAAAGTTTATGATGGATTTGCAAAAGACTAAAATTTGTTGGAAGTTTAACCACAACATAGTTTTTCGGTCAAGGAATTGTAATTTTACTGTTAGAGTTTAGGGCGAATCCAGGACCAGTCAAGAATAAGAAGTGCTTTAGATCAAGAGGAACAGTTGAGTCATATTGGTAAGGTGTATTATAATAATCTCTATACATCATTGTATTCGTTTCAGGAGTCCTTTTTTTAAAGTAACAGCTATATATCAACCTCACACCACAACCTGTGCCTAAACTGGACACAACTGTGAGAACAGTGGTGCAAAAGCATAATCCAAAGTTCATTCATTTTTTTTACTCTGCAGTATGTCCACCACTATACTTTGCTTATATGCTTAGCTACCACTGGCTTGTATGCCAACCCGTACACTGTATTATAAAAAGTTTTGAAAAATTAAATTCTGTACAAAGGGGCAGAGAATTGTCCCTATTCAAAGTTTCATCTCAGTGAATAAACACTCTAGGACCACCAGCTGGTCAAACTGCAAGATTTAACCTTTAAAGTACATCCCCATTTTTTTCTCTTAAAAAGGTATAGTTGAAGTTTTGGGATTGGGTTGTCTTCAGAGCATGGTGTCATCATTATCTGTCATGTGGTATTTTTTTTTTTAAAAAGGCTTTAAAATTGACACTAAAAAACTTAGTAGTAAATGAGTTATTACATGCATTTTTTATTTATTTAAGGGCAATAAGTTTTCATTTGATTTATTAAAAACCAAAAAAGTTCCATAGACTTGAGACCCCCTTTTGAAAAACTGCGCTTTATTAATATTTTTTTCAGTTTTTCCTACCTTCAGCAAAGTGCGTAGAGATAACTATACACCAAAAGTCGTGAGATTTTTTCTGTGCCTGTTTATTGCAGTCAATCAGAATTTTCAAACAGGAAGTGAAGTCATAACATAACCAAAAATAAGGTTTTACAACCTTCCAAGAACATGGCCACTGAACCTGGACACACCTATAGCGTGACACAAAACTTGGTGTTAGGACTTCAGGTTATCCAAAATTTAATTTGCATAATTTCATGACGGGGTACCGAATTAGGCAAAAACACATTTTTCATACGTGACCTTGCAGCCACAGACTTAGCATGATTGGATTAAATTGATATAATGTCTCCGGCCTATTTTACTGTTTGACCGCCTCATATTTGCCTGCAGATATATTCACGAATTGAATATGAATTGCTGTTGAGGTTAGAAAACAAATTTGCCATCCAGGTGTCAGAAAAATAGCTATTCTATATATGCTCTCCACAGGTACTAAAGGTACTAAAAATAACCAAAAACGGGTCCTCAGAGTATACCAAGCCACTCCCCCCCAATTAGATGTACCAGCACACAGGAATACAGATCTGACCTGAATTAGTTTAGGATATAATCCTCATCTCTTTTATGTATTTTAGATAAGGGTCTATTTGATGTTGATTCTTAAAAGAAACACTTTAATTTATGCTGTATTTGCTGCAGAACAGCATCTCTAGCAAAAGAAAGTTTATCTTAAATCTTAAAAATCTTACTCTCCAAGCTTTTAACGATGTTATTCTTCACATCTAAATTTGAAATTTTGACACACAGGTACATGTGAAATACTACATTTAGAATCATCTAACAAAATTATCCGTACTTATGAGACAGATTTAATTCCGCTTTGAGCGTTATTACTGCTTCCTTTTCCATACAGAAATAAAGTATTTAGGGATTTTCAGCCTTTTGCTCTCCTTTGTCCAGCTATTTCATATACATGGCTTTTCCATACTTCTGCTTAACCCAAGCCAACATAATGTGCTCTTACTGTATGTTTTATTCAATCAGCTAAACCACTAAACCAAAAATGAAACCCCAAAGCACACCTCATTTTATTTCATGCTTATTATTCACTTTGAATTCACTTACTTTCTGTGTGATGAAGTTTTGTATGCTTTATTTTAAAAAAGCATACCATTATATGGTATCCTCCTATTAATCAGAAGTAAAATATAGTTTTGTTGAAATATTCACCACTAGTGGCATTCTTTGCAGATCAGACTACAGAAGAAGTCTGCCATGTGTCTCTGTGTACTTTCAGTTTAGTCAAAAAGTGAGGTTGATATTGCGTCAAAGGTATTTTCATTTCAAATTACGTTGTGTTATGCCACCTGGGTACTTTCTGGAACTAAATCTTGACTAAGATCTTTTCTACCTTAAAGGATCAGATTATCTTAAGCTATCAGAACCATGCTAAAATAAAAAGGTGTAGACTGTAAGACTAGATGGTACTCGGGTCTTATAATTTGCCTCAACTGTGGATCGGTTTAAGTGAAAAAAGCTATTTTTGCCTAATGCTATTGCCAGTCTCTATTTTAACTGCTGATCCTAAAATACATACACAAAAAAATGGTATTGCAGTGAAATACTCCATCTTGAAAAATTCAATTTTTCTTCAAGATACACACGTGAAAATAACTGTCACAATATGAGCTATAAATAATGGATAATGAATTAAAATAAGCAGAAAGTTATACCAACGTGCCATGGTGTGTTTCCGTCTGAAAAGTCCACATCGCACCCTCAGCTAATTTCGTGAACCAAATATTGCTGTTTTGTGTTTTTATCAAGGTACAACATATTTCTCTGGTGATTTGTTTTTTCAACATTGTATACATTGTGTAAATTTCATTATCTTTGTAAGCTGTGCTTATATGACCTTTTCAGTGCCTACAGTATATGTTTTCCTTGACATCATTGAATTTACTTTTATGTTGCATTCTCTGTTTTCTTTTGTTGCTTAGTTTGGGCTCTGAAGCAAACTTGGAGTATCAGTGCTTTCCTCCGGTCAAGTTTACATTGGCTTTGTAATTGTTCTCTGTTGATGTTATGTTTATGTGAAACTTAACTGCATGACGCAGAGTGTAATTATATGGCATTGATAGCTGCAGAAGAACCTTGTAACCTTTGTGCTCCTTCCATTTGTTATTATTGCCTGCAAAAAACTAACTCATACAAAAAGGGTTGTACAGTCGTACTATAATACCACTCCTGAAGCAATTCCATATACTTTTGACCATAATGTTGTGTAATTAGGAAATGGCCATTTTTATCTGACTGGTCTGTGCTTTTTTCTTTGGCTTACAGAACATTTTTGTAGAAAAGGGCCTGAAAAGCTGCAGAAAACATTACTGACTGTAAGGTGTATTTTGTCTTTTGTGGTTCTTTCATAGCAGTTTTGATTTGTTTTTCATTTGTGTATGGTTATTTGGTTGGTTTTTCCTCATTTACTTCTTTGGAATAAAAAAGCAATACATGTAGCTATAGAGAGCTTTAAAAACAGTCCTCATTGAATCAGTTTCCTGTGACAATCATTGTATACCGTTTTGCATTTCCTGGACATTTTAATGGGATCATGACCTCCTATTGGCTTCTTTTTCTATTGCCTGATTCCAGTATACAGTCCACTAGAAAAACAACAAGGTAAAGAAGTGTACATTTTGTAATACATCATGTATTGTATTCTCCTTAACAGATTCACTTTTATTTTATCTATTCTTTTAAGTCTCAGCTGTTAGGCTACACAGTAATGCGGATGTTCTCACAGTCATTCGGTCATAGCGGCTCTTCAAAGACCCTGAGGGAACCAGGGGACTGTCAGTTTGGCTCCTTCAGGAGTGGACAAGCGCTTCTTTCATGAAGGAAAAACAGTGGAAACTCTGTGTTAAGGAGTTAATCACGCGCTGCATATGTGTCGTCTTTTGGAAGGGAGAAAAGGGGATATAGCCAAAACTGGGCCACAAGGCAATGAAGGAGGATGAATGGCTGTATATGAGGATGGATGGATAGGTCATGTGATGGGTAATTGGAACCAGAAGATGAAATGGCTTTGTTTAGGTTTCTGCTCTTTTGACATGATGTTCTACTTACAGCTGTACATATGTGTTATGCATACAGAAGTTTTATGCTACATTTTCAGAGCTATAAAACATAAGCCTGGTTTCCAATACTTTTTTATGGAGATAGCTGTGTGATAAAGCTTTTTACTGACACTGACAGCAATAATGTTGATGTGACCTTTGCAGAGCACTCTAAAAAGATGTCTTTTGTAGAGCAGAGCAAACAATTTAGTCATTGTGGTGATGGTTTCCTTATTTGTCATACAAGTGGCAAAGTGCCAGTCACGCCGCCACTTTGCTTTGGACTTGAATGAATTGTAACAAATTAAACCATGAACGAGTTAAATTCATGGTCCAAAGAGGATGAACCTTGATGATTCTGTTGCATCAGTATTTTCAGACATTATGCTACTTTAGTCACGATGAAGATAAAATACTTTTATTTTATTCTATTTATATTACTTTATTTTTGTGCATTGAATGAAACCCAGTGACATTTGGTGTTGACATATATGGTGCATGCATGTGGAGTTTTAATAGCCATTTGGATCATTCATTTGGCAAAGCCATTCAAATTAAAAACAAAATTAATTCAGTACTTTAGTTTTTCGGTTCATAACCAAATATCCGCCTAATTAATGCTAATTAGCAGATGTTAGCCTGCTGATATTGGCATTAGGCTTAAAGAATCCCTGTGTAGAACTTCACAGAGCTGCTGACCATACTGAAATGTACACTCTCACGATGAGCACCCCCCCAAAAAAAAAGTCATACCATCTTTCATGTGACAACAGCCTGAAGTCAGATTTACTGCTAGAATAGAGAAGAATGTTAACACAACTGCCTCCATCTGCCCATCCGCAACTCACAGATGGAAAAGATTCTCAGCTGAGGATACCGAAACATGTTCTCTGTCTTTTCATCCTTGACATGTTGTGGGAAAGTCACAGATTGGAAATGAACATTGCATGTCACCATTGCACAGAATCTCAGGATCAACTGTGTTGATTAAGCATGTGTACAACTTTTGATGGATTTCTGTGCCTGCTGCTCGTGAATAGAACAGATTTACAATTACAGAACTTGTCCTGTTTCATATCAACTTAAAGTAATTTTTTTACTCATTTATTGACTTGGCATTGAAGGTTACGTGTAGCACTGCAACATAAATGCACAAAAAGGAGCTACTACACTGGATAATGCCAAGCTTGGTCAAAAAGTCAGGGGTAGGCGTGTGGGAAGGGGGTTCAGTGACATTTCGGCTGCCAGTCTAAACATAACTTGGAGCTGGGGCGCCCTCAATGTGCCATGTCTATAGGAACAGCGAGGCTTTAAAACTCAGGCCTATGAGTCAGCCAAAAGCCCTGGACTCAAAAAACCTATTCCAGTCCCTGTGTCTCTATGGCAACAGGAACAGATTGGAACCACATCTGGTAGCCATTTCAGTCCCTGCAAGGAAAGGAAGAAA